GTGGTGACAATTACTTACCGACTTTGAGTGCAGGAACCTTTTCCACGATAGCCAGTCGAGTAGAGGGCTGAAGGAAATTTTTCTCGATCATCATACTGGCTACTTCCCCGGCTGTCATGTGTTCCTCAATCAGAATGGCCTTCGTGGTACGATCTGGGCGGAAAATGCGTACAACCAACTACAAACAGAAGAAGCACGAAGGTACCGGACGAGAGAGAGAAAGCGTTGTGCCCCTGTTAGAGAGTTGCAGGAAATGTGTTCATTTTTCACAAATAAGTATTTCTATCTATATGTCCAGAACACCAGTGATGTAGACGAATAAACGCTTTGAAGTCAAACCCATGTAAACCATGTAAATTTCGTCTGAAATTTGTATCGTGCATGATATGAGTAAAATATATTCGTTTTTTACTGACGGTAATTCGAAGGTCGATAAAGAATACAGATCCATCCACTCAAATTCTAAACAAATTATCAACCTTCTTAGTTTGCCGAAGTCAGAGGATGATCGGTTTGCAACAAAAATGTACAAAAATCCAGATGAACACAACTTAATCGAATAAGAAATAAGAAAATTCAGACAACAAGCATGATGGTAGAATAGTGTTAAGAAGCGGCGGCGTTTCTTTCCACCTGTTATCAATTAAATTAAATGTGCTTTGCGTCAATTTCCTCCTACAAAGATCTAATCCTAAATGATTCGCTCCCAGTGACATCGGATAGTCCGTTTGCAAATGTCTTCTGATGTGCATACATCTATCTAACCACAAGTTTAAGCCGTCAAAATTTTATGAGTTTGCACTCTCACAAATGAAAGATTGAAACCGCATCAAATACTCATCGTCAATACTGTCATCTGATTTCCAGCTATGCCTCTCCAAGTAATAGGTTGATGGTCTAGTGTATTGTGACCGAATGTCAGTTCAATGGACAAATCAACTCCCTTGAACATGTCGCTACCGCAATTGAGGCACGTCGACACTGACTGAACAAACGGGTAAGGTCCGTCGCGCATCAAATATAACGTAATGTACAACATTACCGCAAACGAACTGAGGGCAGAAATACCGCAAGCTTTATATAATACTGAGAAGTTTGAACCATTTCACTCAGAGACTTTTTGCATCAGGATTTGGCGACCGGGGGTGGGATTATTTATCACTGATAACATGTCGTATGTCAATCTCATACTGCATTTAACCCGAATGTTACCAAAACAGACAACACGGAAACTGTTCATTTCGCATCGTTGTTCCGAACTTTTAAACCAAATGGAGAATTCGGCCAACACCATTCACTGATGAAAATGCTATGACAAATAGCACGAAGAAAACTGGTTAATAAACGCAGGGGGTTATCACAAAATAATTTACGTTCCTATTAAACTTCGATTTATCAAAGTCCATTTGGTGAATCTGGCATCCGTGTTCAATGTTGATTTGGTTGATCCTGGATAGATTGATTTGGCCGAAGGTGACCAGGGAGGTGCATCAATTGTGGTCAACAACGTGCCCCAACAAAACCGACATTCTGCTTTTGACTACTGAGTCAAGTTGGTCCAAACACACTTCAAGCAGCATGTCACAAAAATAGTCATTGGAAAACTCACTTTTTTCATCTGTCCTTCAATATTATTATTGCTGGACTGGGTCACACCGCGATGGCCTCCCAACTCCGTTGATTCGGAGAACTGGAATTGTAAAATATTTATCACAAAATTAGAGTTGGTCAAAGTAGCCCCATATTCTCCCTTCGGAGGGGAGCAATTTGGGTGAACAACGAATGAGCGTGATTGGCCCGTGGAAACGCAAGCACTTTATTGGACAAGCATTCAGTATTCATGGCCCGAAACTCCGTGTGTGTGTGTGTGTGTGTGTGTATGTGTCTGACCCCGCCCCGTTTGCTTGGCATGCAACTTGAGGCCAAATGTCGATTCAACATTGGGATAACGCATTTGCACCATCCTTGTGATTCTATCAAACAAATCATCTGTCAAAGGGGTGTGTTTAGTTCTATTTGACCAAATAGATTTTGTGTGTGTGTGTGTGTGTGTGTGCAAGAGAATAAGAACAACGAAGATTTGAACCGGGACAGAGTAAACACAGCATATTGGCGAAAGCAGACAGTTCAACCAGCCTGATAATCAGACGGAATCAAAACTGCATACGCTTGATGCGTGTACCGAGGCCAAGTGGTTGTCCGCTCGAAATGGACAATATATGTGAGAGTGGACGATCGTAAAATTCAGGTTCCGCAACAGATTGCCGAGTGAGAGAGAGAGAAACCCGAAGGAAATGATGATGTTGGTGTTGATGGTGGTGGTGGTAGTGATATGGTAGATCGGCAACGTTATTGAAATCAGGAGTGACTGTGTATGTGCGTGAGCGACGGAGGAGAAGGCAGAATGTGCTACGCAAAACGTTTCGTCCGGGCTGAGTGAAAAACATATGGAGGCTTTTCTTTGTAAAGGAATAAGTTTGGCTGTATGTGTGTGTGTGCCCCCAACATTTTGTTTACTCGTGTTTGTGCGCTAATTTTCCGACATGTTTTATTTAGAGGCTTGAATGGACTTGTCCCATTTTAAGTTCTACATGCACGTAAGAAGCTGACCGAACCAGTTTCCCGAGCAAGCGTGTTTAGGAACATCCAATCAACTTGCTTGAGCAACATGTAACAGTAGTGCGCTAGACCAGTTATCCCGTTTGTTTTTTATGCATTGCCTTGCAAACGACACAAAAGGACATTGCAGACTATTTTATTTTCTACGATCAGAGAGTAATTGTAAAATGGCCGAGAACAGATTCCTACTCTTTAAAACAAACTTCCACAAGCCTGGAGGAAAAAAATGAAACGTTGCTTATAGCCTTTAACTTACAAAATCGACTTTGAGAATTGGCTCTTTCAGCATGCTAGCACCCACAAGACATGGTGTTATCTGTTCAGGTAAATCTGATTGTCTTCCATCTTTCTGTTTTAATATTTCCCGCCTGTCTCGTGCATCACCTACCGGGTATCTATTTCAGATGACTGTCCCCAGGTGACACAAACGGTAAGTGCAAATCCCTTACTCTTCCCTCTTCTCTTTGAAGTACTAGGTTCAGTTCTTGTATTGCATGCCTAATTTACAGAACATTTTCGGTACACTACACATATAAACGATCCATCGCTCATGCGTCGCTTAGTTGTTCTCGCCTTGTCATATGAAGCGTTTTGAAAAATAAATGTCATTGCTTTCCGTCTTGAACTCGTCTTTACAAAAGACATATATGGCATAACAAATAAACCGGCGATTTAGCTTTCTATGTTAAACATTTGATTGGGACTGGAAAGGGTATACATGAACAGATTGAAAGGGGTGCATAACTGTTCCAAACTTCGACCGTATAAGTCACTTTTGTATTTGTCAATCTGAGGGCAAATCGGGAATTCGAACACCTTACAGACAAGACCAACAACAAGACTACTCAGAGGATTGTACACATTTTTTCTACCGCACATGTCCATGTGACAGGTTTATTGTTAATTTTCTACAGACATCGTTTGAATGAACTTATACAATCACATGGTTTGCAGAACTTTTGAGGAAATAGGTGGGCTTCACGAAAAAGATAGTTGTTTTTAGAAGAGTCAAACAACATCGTTAAAGCTGTTTCACAACCAATGGATTTCGGACTGAACAGCGTCAACTTACTTCTGTTAGCTTCAAACTGGAAAAAAGTTATATATGAACAGATTTACTAACAGAATATTAAGTCTGTCACTCATATGCAACCTGTCAAACTGGACTCAACCAAGGAGGTAAATAAGGCCCAGTAAGTACACCATCTAAGAAACCGATGGTGAATCCAAATCTAGCAACGCTTTTATTTGCTATTGCATTGTGTAAACTGCATCCACAAGTTTATTTTGTTTCTCGATGACAGATACACAACATGATTCATTTGTTGTGTTCTGCTTTTGATCCCAAAGGCTTTATATGGGTGGAAGGATTACATAATCGGAGAAGAGTATACAAACTGGTGTTCCATCCTAAACCGGGTTTTTAAATACTGACTCGTCGGATTATTGGTCAGTCACAGAAATTGGTTCACCCCTTTTCTGCTGATCAGCTTTAACCCTTCCATCTAAAAAATAGTGGGTTGCATTTTGATGATTATTCTCTCAGATTGCAAAAAATGTTCGTACCTAGGGGATTCACTTTATGATGCAATAAGCTGATTTCGTCACGTCTACGTTGATCAACAGAATGCACACTTGAATATCGCCATTCCACCAGTTCTCTCAACTACGGATAAGCTTCCATGGTTTGGCCATGCTTGGGTGTTTGTCTGTATTGCCATTCTCTTCCAATTAGGCCACAGGATGGTGATTAGAAATGTTTTCGAATAATCTCAACTTTACCGGTACAAATCTTACTCGTCAAGATTGGCAGTACCTCTGAACCAGATGCGTTCTAATGTGTGAAAAGTTAAAATAAACAAATTATCACCGCGTTGTTTAGGTTAGAATGGATCTAGGACAATCGTTGAGTTTGTCTTCTGTTTTCCACAATCAATCCCTCCCCTACAAACCGTCCGAGAGAGAGAAAGACTAGCCACAACACTCAAACTCATTTTAGATCACCTACTGTCCTCAAAGCCAAAACTGCGATTATCCTGTTTCTGCATCAGCACTATATGACATTTTCACGAATAAATGGTTGGATAGCGTGATTGCACCAAACTGTCAAAGAGGAAACTAGTGGTGAAAGCGATTATGGTGTACAGGAAACAGTGCCTGTTCGCTCAGCCAGCCAAATCTAGTGCTCTCAGTGAATCTCATTGACTTGTAGCTTAGCATAAGCACAGTGAAACAGAAAGTAACAAGGATGAAAACAATGGGTCTCTTGTCGTCTTACTTCGCACCCATAGACTGTTGGCTGTCGTCCTACCTATCGATTATAAAGAGCATGACAACAAAGTTATTCTGATCGCCGAAAGAAATTCGGCGAGTAATTTGATTCCTAATCGAGTTAGGGCCAGTAGATGATTTTTCTTCCCAGTTGCATTAATACTCCATTAAAAATCTTTGTATCCAAAGGCTGATTACTCTCTGATGAAGTTGACTGCAATAATCAAGGATGAACATCAATTTGTGCACTGTTGGAATATATCAGGAAAATCAAACGGTCTGTTTCAAGCGGGTGCCTTATTTCACTAACAAAATTTCATTTCCGGCTTCGAACCCTAGTAGGTTAGCTGGAAATACGCTGCTTCACATTGAGGAGAAATTTGATCTGCAATGCACTTCTTGTTGATCAGTAAGAAGTTATGAAAAAATGAAAATTTCCAAACTCTTGCTTTTTTTGATAATCGTATCACATTGCAAATGTACTTACTTTTTAGAGAACAGATTGTACTGGTAAATAGTGGATACCAGAATGCTTTTTTCTCTCCTTTAAAACTCGAAAATTACATCAAAGAAAAAAATGACCGGGCAACCACAATGTTAATGTATAAGAGCACTAGCTTAGTCAATGCGACGTTTGGTAACCAGGGCCAAAAATGAGAGTTTTTGAGTGGTTGCATCTCGCAAAACTATTTGGGTTTCATGGCAGTTTGTTGCTGTAAACCCTTGCTCGCTGGGGACCTATCTGTGAATGATTTGTTATGGTCCAATGTATAGCTTCGCCTATATTGATCATAGTCCCGCTGCTTCAACATTCATTATTCCTTCAGAATCATATATAAACAGGGAGCCGAGAGTATGAACCAGGAACATTGCATCGCACATTTGTGTCGCATCTGCAGCACAGTGCGAGCCCACAGTACGTTCCCGTTACAAAGTGTGTGTCCAAACAGGAAAGAGCCGACTGTTAAATACTCCTCGACAATCACCACAACATTACCTACAAATAAAACCCATGCTCATCTTCGAAAAGTAACTTTCAAAGAGCAAAACATACAGATGCGGAAACCGATTGCAAAATATCCGAGTAATGAGTTCGTTAAGACTGATTTTAAGGACAACACAGCAAAATGCGTTGTTCCTTGAAGTGGAGAGTTCTTTTTGGTTATTCATGCCTATTCTTTGAATGATTATATGATCACAATAAGAGTGGAATGGCAAGAAAATGTTTAAAGTAGTTATCATTAAATTCTTTTGGTTACGTAACTCGAGTTTTCTGTTTGATCTGATCATATGACCAGTTGACTACAAATGTCGTCTCGCTGTGAGAACCTCAAGGTCTAAATAACCCACTTTAGTCTTCCGGGTTCGGAATGGTGAATTCAAATAGCTACCGTTTTGTCTATGCATGGCACAATTTTTCTTAATTGGGGTCTTGTACATCACCTCGAATGGCCTTTTAACAAATGTCGCATGTTGATCAGATGCCCTATGATTGGATTACATGTGACTTCTCTCAGTCCTTTCCCCAACCAGGTCCGATGGTGCTCTTAACTCCGTTTTTGTCAATTGCTGTGTGTTATGACCACTGTAACTATTGCATAAGCAAATGAACTGGGAGATACACATGAATGGTTAACCGTAGTCGCCGATCTTTAAGCCTCTAAGCAATGACTAGGTAGGTTAAGTAGAATATTTTGATTTGGGCAGCCAAAACCGTATTTTTCTGCATTTATAGAAGACCTCACTGAAACCGTCGATGAATAAGCGTAGGGTGATAAACAATCTTTTATTAGGGACGGCGTAGAACTCGCATTTTATGGTTTCGTTTGCAGACCTTATTCGATGAAGCTGTCAAGGTATCCATTCTGTCAGAAAATGATTCGCATTTTCTTCAGTTTATCTAACAATAGTTCATAATCTTCGAGCTACATAACGCACTACGTTTCATTTTTGATTTATCAATATTGCACAATGTACACTGAGGTTACCATAGCCAGACTATATGACATAATTAACCGTTTGTCAAATGATCAAATAAAAATGCAATGATCAACTTACGGAAACAGAAAAAACTACTGATTATAACTTTATAATTCCCCTACCATTCACTGCCAAAGTTAGAGAACAAATAATAAAAAAGAATTCTTCGTTTAAACTGCCTTTTTAATAACAATTTGGAGTATTCCGCTAAAAAACTCAGCTATAACGTTTCAACTGGAATCAATAAATCTCGTTTATTTATCTACCCGAACCCCAATGGAACACCGTTATGCAACTGGATATTGAGCATGCTAAACTTAGACTGAAACCAGTCTATAAACGTTTAGATTTATCGACTAACTGAGTGCTGCGTTGCGCACCAGACCTCAGGAACTGAAATATATAAGAGTAAGATCTTCTGGATCATATAAATTCTTTCAATTCAGATGTTAGAATCACTCGATTGATATTATAACTGTAACGCAGTCTTCCGCCACATCTGTTCCATTGGATGCATTACTATTGTACTAACCGACGCTAGTTTACATATTTATATTTACATGTATATATAAATCAAGATGTCTTTCTGATGGTAATTTTATCCCCCTTTTATTTTCATACTTTGCATTCGAAATTTACCACCTACCCCATCTGTTTTCACATTTAAATGTGCGAACGGCACAGCAGTTCGTGGTGCACCCAACAAAATCTTTTCCGTCAGTCCCCATTCAGTCAGTCATGAGTTCCATTACGGACTGGTTTGACTGTGTTACGTTTTCCTCGAAATCCACCAAATGCATTGGTTTTGTTCTTTCTTGATTGTAGACAGTCTAAAAACTCCGAATTTTCCAGACGTTGAAAGGTTACAGTATCTTAAATACCTTGGATAATGTCTTGGTTGACTTCAAACGGTCCTTCCACGGGCAATAAACATTTCTTAAAGTCAGAAAGTAGTTGTTTTTCATCTCACGCTTTCCATATCTAAGGGTGCCGTTGTATGTAATTTACAAATCTATTTTCCACTGTGTTTAACTTACTTTCCTCTCGTTATCTTCCCTTGTTTAAGGATTTCATGTTGATTAGACATTCCCTAAAATCAACTGCTTATGTAAGGAACTGTCCTTTATGTGGTCGACTTCGTTGTGAACCGACACCATAAAGCATGGTGCCGCCTGTGTGACTCAGTCCTGTCTCATGCATCACACCTTCTACATCCGACTCCCTCCCTCACTCCATCTTCACTATTGTCACCCTCAAGTTAATGGTTTCCGAGGAATGACTACCAAAGGAACTGAGACACAATTTCTTACAACTCATGTTGCTCTGCTATGCGTTCTCACTCTTCACCATCCGTCGATCTCTACTGACTATCTCCTCATCAGGTCCTTTTTATTCGCAAAAATAAAATAGTTGTTCACTGAAAATTCTATTCTCAGTGGATACATAATGTTTATTCCTCATTTGACTTGATTACGCAATATTCATTGGAAAGAAAGTTTAGACCAATCATTATTCATCATCCACAACACGACTAACAACACAATAATTAATTATGCAGGGGCCGTTCAAAATCGTAAATCCGATCTAGGTATTTGGTGTGAATGACTTCCTACCAAGTTAATCAACCCTATATTCTTCTTGCTTCCGTTTTGACCATTTCACTGACCAACCGTACCTTCGATCCACTTTCGTTAATTCACTGGCTATACAAATGACGTTGTCCACATGTACATGCACATGTACATATTGCATCGCATTAGTCGGAGACACACTGTGCCAACCTAAATTTGTGAATTTTCTATCCAAATATGTGATAGGAAAGCAGTATTGTCAAAATAAGGTGATAAGGTGATTCATTGCGTCTGCTGGAAAGAAGAAAGACTGGATAAAATTGACTTTACAGTCACTGAGGGTGAGAACTTTTACGGAATTCAAAAAAGTATAAACATGTACTCGAATAATTTCAAATTTATCAGGTTCGTTATGTTAGATTAACAATAAGTTAAATCCCTTGATAGCATTTTTTCAGTTTCAGAAATCACGTGCAGAAAGTCTGTTGAAAACTTCTGCGATAAAAAACGCTACATTTTTATCATAGATAAGAATGATAATGATAAAACTCTCGAGCGAGTTGATGAAGACCGTCTTTAGACAACTAAAATAAGAACGGCCCTGATTAAAAGTTTTACTTGGTTGCGAGGATGATAAGATGCACTGTGCTACCTAGACTCCTTTAGTAATCTGGCCATCGGTCTTGAGTGCTGAGCTGGACAATGTGCGTGCTGTCGTTCTGCGCGAGAGTGAAAAGTGCGTACAATGGCTATTCAGTGGTGATTTCAACCTAGACCAATCAACCTGTTACTACAACGACCAATTCAGTGAGTATAAAAAATGTACAATTGATATTGGTTACTATTCTCAGGAAATTTTCCAAATAATCAAAACAGTTGCATTCTCCCCAACAATATTATCACACCTCATTTATGGAAAAAGTATGTCTGGCCAAATTGAGATGTGCTTCGTCTGGATCGCGGAACTCTCACGTACTGTCCTTGGTTTCGCAATGAACACTTTTGAGAGCATCACGTAGACAAATAACTTAAACTGGAGGTTTTTCAGATCGGCTGCACAATGATGGGAAACGGGCTGACCTGTTTTTCTTCCGCTCATCTGTCGACTGAAATCGAACAGACGTTTCTTAATTTGGCAGTCACGGTCAGCTGATTACAATCATAGAACCGGCCGCTTGGTCAGCAGTTTGTCCTTTTCTTTAGTTTAGCAATATTAAATAATAGGTGGTTATTGAAGAAAAATGTACCCTCCTGCATTATTCACTAGTAAAATGGAGATTATCCATTGATTTTAGTGTTTCTGAGTGCGGTATACGTTCCCAGGGTTTTCAAGTGTATAACTGCTGGAGGGTATTTTTCACAACCTTCCAGAAGAAATTAATCAGATAGAGCTCATCCCTTGACAATTACCAAATGGATCATAAAACTCGATACTAGTGATGTTTCGATCTAGTCAGGCATCACTTACCGATTTGTCCGAGAGCGAGCTTTCCGGACTAAGCGAATTGGATAGACCATCACTGCCTCCGTGACCGACCAGTGAATTTGTTTTCACCAGGTCTCGCCTCGGGACTGGCTGACCCGGACTCCAACTCCCCAGACCGCTCAATGAGCTCTCATCGTCCCCGTCGTTCGGTCTTGTGTTGACAGTGGTGCCAAGTAAAGGCCGATGACCCGCGGCCAATCCGGACGCATTCAACGCTCCAGTACTGGCGTAATGAACGTCCGTTGGAGACAAGGTCTGACGGGGTGACTCAACCATCACACCAGATGGTAGTGCAATTGTCACATTGGATGAATGCGCATGTGTCACGTTTGGATGTGAGAGTGACTCTGGTGGACCACGCGGTCGATTATGTTTGTTCGAATGCGTCACGTCAACCACATGCACCCCAGTGGACCCGGATGAAGGCTGAGTCTGTAAACAGGCGTAAGGGAGTGGGAATCAAAGCCTAGGGAGAAATGACAGTCCTGAACAATTTAATCTATTTCACATCAGGAACAAAAAGAATCCTAGAAATCACTAAATGCAAACAAAGATGGAGGTCACAATGTTAAAAAGCAATCAAAGTATCAACAGCTGGGAGTAAAAGAAATGTCATCCTACCCGTTATACATATTTGTTTTTCGAGGGTGAAGTTGACAATTTCGACGCTCGGTAAACACATGTAGATTAGCTTAGAAACAATGAACGTACACAAACCAAATTCACGCTGATGTTCGATAGGTGTAGTTTCACATTAGAGAAGCCCAGCAAGTTGTAAAGCACATCATAGCTCGTCCTGTGGCTTGAGCTGATTAGAGTGAATGATATGACCTTTTGAAGCAATGTTTGCTCTCTAACCAACAATTGGTTTTCTTCATTGTACCAAAAAACTAAATCAATACAGGATAAGAAATGTTACACCATACACACTGCACTTTTGAAACATAAATTTTGGACAAACAATAACCCTTAAACTTTCCGCTTTCCTCAGGATAGAAAATGTATCAATAATAACAACTATGGAGCCATCAGAACAGCACGTCAGATCAGACTGAGATGGCGAGTCCTAAGTGATATGTCGCACATACCGGCGCACGCCAAGGACCAGTAATGAGGACTAATCAGCGTGCGATCACTCACGCTCAGGCTACCTTGTAGGCACAATAATTTGCAACGTTTTACAGCTTCAGAGCTCTCTATTGGATGCATTCGTGCGTCCAGAATTCAGGCTTAAGAATTTGCAAATGTATGAAAGGAAAAATAGCTTTTTTAGTTATCTTAGCCTCTGAGTGACATTCTAAAGGACGCTGAATGAAGGCGCAGAATTTGAAACCTGCTCTGGGTAAAATACACCGGATCGAAGTAAGGAAAGAGAGACAACAACCAAACAGACTTTATAGCGCAGTTACGCAGAAATATCAGCTGTTAGAGATTTAATCAATGGCAATTACCCAATGAACACCACTCAACTAAAGTTCACTCTCGTCGTTTATGTGGATGTGTGAGGTCTGTCGGATGAAATGTGCTCACTTCCCATGTATAGACTTCAGTGCACGTGTGTCTGTTGAAACTCAGTATATCAATAAGGGCGAATTCAAACAGCTCTTCGGACCTTTGGCTGTACACCAATTGTACTCCCGTGTATATGTGTTACGTCAGCCAGGAGCGTAAAATCAACACAAAAAATGTTTCCCTTTCGCCGTGAAAAAACTGTTTGCCAGATCTCAGACACGAATTCGGGATTGAATAACATCATCGGTTACCATCAACTTCCCCGTGCAAAGAACACTTATCGAACTGAAGTGTCTTCATTCTTGCAGCTATGTACCGCTAAATAGCTATTTGTCTTTTTGACGTACTGGCCGTGAAGCAGAATGACTTCCCATGATGAATGAGCGTTTAAGGTATAATCCTACAACTCATTTGTTAGCTGTGAGAAATTCAGCTTATCACAGTTCTCCTTTTTGGATTTGAAAAGAGGAATCGTGTTCTCATTCAGGGTTCTAATTTTTTTAATAAGATTGTTTTTCAACAAACAAAACCGTTTTCGCCAAACATTTTAAAACTCTGCATACTATACTTGAAACAGCTTTCACGAACAGAACAAGGTAGGAGGCGTAGCGCAGTAACTGAAGCTGACAATGCTCTGCTTCCAACACCCAATTAATGGTGAATTTATCCTTTTATGTTCACAACCTCATTCTATATTTCCTCACTGTATTCTATTGGAAATCATTTTAACATGTTCGAAAATCGACATTACTAGCGCGCTGTTTGGCAAGTTCAACCTACCGCTTGTGACACCGGCACTTGTGTTGAACCAACAAATTCGAGACTTTGATGATTCATTGGGGTTTTTGAGGAGATCAATAAACCGGTATCACCGACCGCATCCAAAGTTTGCATCGTAACTTTCGCTCCGCCTGTCGATTTACTCAAAATAGGTTTTCGCGTTCGGTGCACCATATGGTCCCGGGGTGCCATATTTTGCGGATTCATCGACCAAATACCAGCTTCCGTTTGTTGAAGCAAAGCGATCGAAGGGGTAGGTGGTTGTGGTGAGACTGGTGGACTGACGCAGGCATCTCCGGCTCCTAAAAATGCTGGGGGTGGGGGAGGAGGTGAGCTGGATTGTTCCCGGTCCGAAGTGCTCAAGTCTGGGTTTAACTGAGCAGCCCATTGGGCTGAAACGAAGCCGTTAGTTGTGGTTTTCGTGGTTGTAGGATGTGCGGTGGTGGTGGCCGTGCTGGTGAGGCTGGTCGTGGAGACGGCATTGGTGCTGCAGACGGTGGTGGTGGTGGGGATCACAGAAGCAGAAGTAGCAGCCNGCCACAGAGGCAGCTATGCTCGTTGTTAGGTGGGGCTTAAAGTTGGACTGGATACAAGCGGTTGCGGAAGTAAAATCAGTTGAATCGAACACTTGATCATTGGGCCGTTTGGACTGTGGAGAAGAGGCCAAACTGTAGCGCTGTAAGAAAAAAAGTTAGGAATGACACTGAAAACAGTTCGAATTCAAATGTGATTTTTCAGGGAAGAAAAAGTAGTCTGGGAACATTTTGATGTTTGATGAACGGAAAATNAATGAAAATTAACTCCCGCTTAAAGGATGTATGTGTGCGCGTGTGTTAATCCTTTAAAGTGAAATACCACGCGATCAATAGATCGATGCCGGAACGGTGTGCATAAACTAGATTACGTTAGGAAAAAATATTGCAGTTTGAGAAAATGAATCTTGTGTGAGAGCGATTAGAGCGTATTCCAAATTCCTTAACTCCGTTTCAACACCAAATCAATGGGATTTAACAAATAATGTAGACTGAAATGACAAAAGAGGATCAGATGCAAGGAAAAGTTGCGTGAATTTGGAAAAACACTTACGTATTTCATAAAACACCCCAAACTCATGAAAGGAGGAAACCAACTGAGGTAAACAACAAACGACTTACAGACAGGCCTGCAAACTTTGTCCATTATTTACGGAAAACAAATTTTCGTATGATTTAACCAAAAAATCAATAGTTACCACGATTTTTCAAGCATAGGAATAGCCTCAGAAATGGTCTGAAAAACTGAGATTATAAAACTTCAAACATCTTTGCCTGAAAACTGATTTCAGACTGCTCATTGACGGAAGGGCTTTCTAAGAGCATAAAGTAGTGAACGGCAGACTTGAATTCGAATAATTCATGTGATTTCTTAAGACGTTACGGAGCTTTATATGCATATGTTTATGGGAATCACTGGACAAAGTTCTACTGGAAACACAAGACCGGCTTTGAGGTGATTGCCGCTCGTTAGGTATGCTTATTACTTATTGTAAAATATTTCATTAATCCTTTCAACCAAATTAGCAAAATATTGTTTAGAAGCATGTCTTTGATTCATTGATGGACTTCTTTGAACAGGATATGCGCGAATTCTACACCCCGTACCACCGATTCTAGATTTGAAAACTAAATACATGGAATGGAATTTCGATGGTAGTATTTGTGGAGGTACTACAATACTACTGAGGACCAACAATCTACAGTATAACGCGATTTGTGCTGAAGCATAAGCACTGCGGAAAATTCTTCTGACTTGGCAACAGCTTTGTCCTTATTCTTGTGAATAGCAACTGTTCGATTAGATTTCTTACTTTCACCAGCTGCTTGAGAAAAACTCAGTCGGACAGGAATAAAGCACGTGACCTAATGACAAATGAGATTAGACACTATGAAAAATAGATTTCCTGTGTTACATTTACCCTACCGGTTTATCACAGAATAGACTGCATGGATTCCTACTCAATTAAAAGAGATAATTAAACTAGTATTGACAGAAAATTACTTCTCAGAATCTGGTCCTATTCATTGAAATGGCTACTCATTCAACTAACTTGTTGATAGCAGATGATAATGAAAATCAAACAATTGTGGCAACTCATTGAAACCAGCGATCAATAAACCTGTGATGCTGTGTTCATCTATACCGAATGGGACGGCTACGAATGGGATCAGTAAATGTAACCACAGCGTCATTACGATGAATGTGAAAAAATCAAGTGATTCTAAACTATACACAAAGCTAACGAATGAGTCTGAGAGAATAAAATCAACCGTAGGGCATAGAAAACGAGCGCAACGAGGATGTAGAACATCAGGATAGTGGAATCAACTCAGATAATCTGTTATCGATGTTATCTGAAGAGCATGCAACAATGAACGACTGAGAGTACACAAGCAGGCTTCCAAGGAAGCTGGTAGGATAAATGTTGCTGAGTTACTTTGATATTTATTCAGAAGTCTAGCGAGCTGGGCCCAATTCTGGCATTTGGATAAATTATTCACGACCACATGGGAGTAGTTTATGGTTTGATTTGATCATACGATGAATCACCTTGTGTACAGAGTAAATGCAAAGTGAACAGATAAACTACGAAGGATCATACAGACGTATAGATCTGTTTGGGTCCACTCCGCAGTGCGAACCCATCAAACCCAGGATCCCATCTGATTGACAACCAGGTGGTTGATCACATTATTTGCCATTTAACCTTTACATCATACATTACAATCCATCTTTGGGAGCTTAATGCAGGCATTAAACTTCGCTCATCTCCGCACTCGGGATTAGGCGTTTGCTGAGGACAAATACATTTGTATATCAATGATTTCATCACTGACTTGGATGTGACTTTTTTGTCTGAGACGAGATTATGTGGTTCGGGAAGACGTGGATTAAGTACCGTAATTTCTTGTTGGTAACAAGTCCGGGGTTCTACTGGCGAAAACCAGTGAGCGATACATCCGTTTCTGAAGTCTTCGTTTTAATTCATTCACTGATCCATGGGAAACTAAACATTTTTTCACAATTGCATAGGTTAAATTTTCGGCGGTTTGAAAACAAAAGGCAATTGTAAACTTATCGATTGCTAAGACCACAAAAACGTGCAAAAATAACAACTGTCCGAAATCGACAGTGAATTATTCAATGATTAAAGAAGAACGGAGTTTAAACGTGGACAGCTTTTTAACCTATCCATTCCTAAACAATATACAATTCATGCAGTTACACTGTTGTAACACCAACTCGTAATAAGTGGGATAATTTATGCCCTGTAAATATTTTGCCGGAACCAGATGAGGCTTTATACCCTTCCTGAGCAGACCATATCATTTAAGATGCCTGAGCGAAAATCCAGAACAATTAGTGTTTGTTCTAGGTATTTTAGGTCAGGTTAAGTACATGACAATATTGTTGATGTTTAACAAATAGCACTGGACAGCTGTTTGGGACTCGTCAATAGTCTCTGTGTCTAAGTGTCTCTATCAAGAAGAGAATCACGAACCTTTGAGGTGAGACTTCAAACTCCTACCCCTGAGCTACAGGGTCGACGGTCATCACTTTGTGCTAATGGCTCAATCAATGTACAGTGTCATATTCGGATTAGCTCATTCGATTGCTCAGAGGCATCAGGCACTCTAAATGAGTGAAACCCTCGTCCCAGAAAATCAGGAGTACCTGGTGCCTCTGAAAAATCGAATGAGCTAATCAAAACACGAATCAATAAAGTAGATAGATTGAGTTTTTACACGTGAGTTTTTTGAAACACCCAAGAATACAAAAACATAATACGTGTTCCAATGTGAAATGATACTTGCACCCTCAAGAACATTGGTTATCCATTGCGAAAAGCAAAGTAAGAACAGAAGATTTGCAAAACGCGTTATAGGCCGATCCTTTTCAACAATCAAAGTAATTTAGTTCATGGTGTCCTCATTTTCCTTTCAGAATACAGTATGTTTAGCTGAGTGATTCAGCGTTTGGCTAGCTTCAGGTCGGTTTTGAAGGCCACATTTTCAGAACAATGTTTACACTATAATGTCAAACTACTCATTATATATTCAAATTTCTTCGATTTCGCCTCAAGGAATAGACATCAGTACCGCGGCAATGAGTCACTGGTCCTGCCATCAACACCAAGAAAGATTTAGACTTTCTTTNCTATATGCTATGCTTAAGGAAAACCACGACTAATTATCCTGGCATGCGTGTGTAAACACGTAGGATATTCAACATTAATTGCTATCCATTTTCCAGGGGACTATTGGATAGCATTATCATATATTATCTATGGCTCAAATAATCTCTTGTGTGGGAAAGACAGATGGGCGGACAGACAGAGATAGGAAAAGCACAGATGAAAAGAGACAACCGCACAAGTTTCCTTCGACTATTACACATCTATGTGTCTATCTACTTCCCGCAAAAAACGGTGCACTCTCCTTGTCACGTTCCCATTCGTTTAATGCGCGACATGTGAACGAATGGCGAAAGAAATGAACGGTCGGAAAGAGTTCGAACCGTGTTATCCAGTGAATTTGGATGACCTAAGGGGTAAACTCTATACCGCTAAAATTAACTAATTCGGCCGGCTAAACCCAGCATGTCTCTTCTCGCTTTTTACCTGACCGCAGTCTAAATGATAATAACAATTATTCAAAAAAACCTATCAAGATGAGATTTTCTGTCGATAGATATAGTATAACAAGTCACTAAAGTGTGGTGAATCGTTAACTCTAAATTTGTATATATATCATTACGAATAATGAGTTTACCAAAAAGGCATTGATGAATAATCTCAAAAAAATATCAATTAGTGCATTTGATACATTTTACTTGTACCGTCACTTTTTGCTTGAGTGACTTTATCAGTTAATATCATGAATCGAATAAGTTAACTTCGGTATTCTGACAAAATTCTGTTCGTATGCAGTGAGCCGGTCAGCATTTCCCTCATCAAAACCACTCAGAATACAGAGGTAATACCGTGGTCGTACGACTTTCCCCTTTCTTTCAATGAAAGCCCAACCGATCGATGGAAAAAATATTCGAGAAGCGAAACGGGCTGATTTGATGTAAATAACCTCCGACTGGTTTGTTTGATTATCTAAGAGTTATTTCTGTTGTACAGTCGAATTAAGTTCGTAATAAACTGTGTATGCTATGGGTGCTGTGTCCAAAGTTACTCCGAATCAAATAGTACTCATACGGATCCGTACGGTTCGTCAAGTCGTCGACTACTCTCTTATTTACTTCTAGTGATCTTTTATTATTCGTTCAAAAGGTAATTGCTTTGATTTTTACGCATTCCTTCAGATTTAGGCTCTATCTCACAACCAGAAAACATTAACAACCTTTAGTCCTCCAATAATTTGCGACAGTTACCTCCCTGTTTATGAAACGATGATGCGAAGCGAAAACCGAACCCTTGACCAAAAACAGAAAGATTTCAAAAATGGAACTATATTATATGTATCGTTTGACTTTTCTACATAGTTATGTGCTCAGTATGTTGTTTCTCTCGAACAGGTTATTAAATTTGCGAAAGAATTGACGATGTTTTAAGGAGTTCTAATTCCATGAATCACCTGTGAATTGGTTACAGTTATCAGCAACCTATTTTCAACCTGGACGCAGCTGGAACCCAACCAAAGTTGTTTGACGTCTCCGAAATCTTTCATGCTCACATTCCTCTCATTGTTACTAGTGCATTGAGGAATGATGATCCCATATGTTCAGCGTATTCGATGCGCTAATTAGGAGCCCCTGTCAAATACGGAGTACGATGGAGAGCGCCACATTTCCTTTTATGTTAAATCGTGTCTTTCAAGGTATACAAACTCTAACACTTCGGTGATCACAAGTATCGCAACCAAAATTTTCGTTTCGTTTAATTCATTTATCTCGATTTGGTTACCCAGTTTACTTTATTTTGATACANAAACTTCGCAAACAGCATCCGTGTCCGGACAAATGGTTCGATCGTTCAACACATAAGTCAGCGAATAACAACAGGTTGACATTCTCTCATAACAGCCTTTGAATTACCGTTTGCCTCCTTCCAATTTCTAGGTGCTCTGTTATTCAACTAGTTCCACTCACTATAAAGCTTCATAATAAATTCCCTATCCTTTATCAGCATCTTTAGTGACTCATCTAGCAGGCAACTAGATAGATAGATATATAGATATATAGATAGATAGATAGATAGATAGATAGAGCTGACTTATCCGCTGCGCCCGATATGTAGCTTGAGTGTAATTATTGCTTTTTGTCTCTCAAAACTTTACCGGTGTGTCTTTTTCTCTGTCTAGTGTGTGTCCGATAAACAGTGGTGTGTGGCTAAGATGGGGCCAAAGGTTCTCATAAAAGTCACTCGCTTGTAGTAAAACCAACGAGATAAAAACAGTGTGCAGCTGTTTAAATTTTCTCTTCAAATCGTCAACAGCATCAGCGTCTATCACTATTCGTTGAGCAGCTGATCACACACCGGTGGAGTTCGCCGACGACTGGAGGTGGGGGATGGTGGGCCATCTCTTCTCGACCGTCGAATCACCGAAAACGATATGCAACCGCAGCTGTATTAAAGCGGCTCGATATTTTCAAATTTTGCTGTCCTCTGTTCCTTAAAAGATGCGTTTCTATGAATAATTGATCAAATACTTAACAGATTGTCTGGTTGGTGACTGACGGAGAACACCGGTGTAGTACACTTAATCCATTTCCACTCATTCCGTAGCACTAAAATTAAAATAATTTAATCATTACGGCAAATTCTGCACTACAAATCATGAAATTTATGTATACATATCTTGAATGCATAAAATAGAGATATTAAGTTGATATAAATGTCATATCTTTCCGTCTTGCTTAATATATGTACAGCGTATACATGTTTGTATTCTGTAAAAATTTTGCTTGAAGTTGACTTGATAAATCGACAGAAGGTAGATGCGATCCTCACATCAGTTGAAAGCAGCACGAAGTTCATCTTATTTTGTTTAGTTATACTTTACTTACGTTTACTTTTGAGTGACTAACTCTTACGAGAGAATAAGTGGGTTTTTGGATATCTCTAATGATATCAGTCCACATGTGACGATCTGCGGCAAGTTTGATGCAGTGTGAGACCAAGCTCTGGTTCCAGTTCTGACATACGTACGGATTGGAGACCCAGCAATTCCAGATTCGCCTCGATCGTACTGTTCCAGATCTATAGTTAACCTCCGAGTAGGCAACGCCATCCATGGCACGGTATAGGGGCTACAGCCTGTGTTGAGTTTCGGACCTTCGAAACACGTGACCAAACTACTGAAGTTGTCGGCGTTATAGCACTTTCGAAAGCATGTCGATGTTCAAGCAGCGCTATCATACTTCATCATTGGAAATACGATCTCTTCATTTTAGTTTCAAGATGGAACGTGAACACCAATGATTAGCTGCATTGTTTCTTGTACTCTTAGCGGCCATGTTTCACAACCATAAATGAGGGTGGGGAAATGGAACCCTTATGAACCCAAAGCTTAATGTTTAGGTGTATTTCGCATCAGTTTGGCTCCATCCACATGAAGTTAGATTTCATCCTTAGCTTGGCCGTTTGATCTGATTGAAGAGCCAAGATGCTTTAAAAATTGGGTTGATTCGACAAGCTCCCTGCTAATCGAGAGGGGTTGTGTCGAAGCAAAAATGTCGGTCCAAAATGTTTGGTTTTCAACGTATTGATCTCTAACCCAATGGCCTGGGTAGGTTGATTAATACGACTGGAATTTGTCTGGAATTTGTCCATGGTGTCCCCAATTCAGACAACATCATCCTCAAACTTGAGTTATGCAATCCATGTAGCTGGAACAAACTGCAGTTAGGAGTAGTCAACGATCGTTTCTCGCAGTATCAGATCAACTTTATAATTAAATAACATCGGAAAACCTTACCTTAATCCAGAGCTCATTTGATTCTCCCCCATAGGTACGGTCTCCTACCCGGGATTCGGGTATACCGTCGAGACCCCATTCTCCCCCACAATGAATCTTTATCGACTGAGTCAAAGGCAGCACAGAATTCAATGAAACTTGCTGTGGTAGATTGTTGGAACCTGTATCGGTGTTCCAGAAACCTGCGAAGAATAAAGAGTTGTTCAGTACAGCCTGCTTCGCGGCATCCCCTTTCCTGATTTGTACGGGTGCGGAAATCTCTGATGACTGAGAAGTGGCAAGGTAGTACCACTGCAAACAATTTGGCCGCAATATCAAGGAGGTTGATACTGCTATAATTTTCGCATCTTGGAACAGGGGCCTCATTACTATAGATCACCTAGTAGACTTTAGTTAGTCTGGGGCATCTTGGCGATCTACACTCACGCGATACCCCTAGTGTGCTCAAATATTTCGATCAGATAGTTGAAGCAAAATTGATAAAACCGCAAAGTTAGGTGTAACCTCGCAACTCATTTGGAAAAGCATACACAGGACAGATGCGTAAGCGGCATGAGTTCTTCCTACCGACAGTTGGATTGTGTGTTAACTCTTTCATAGCTATCCACCAAATAAACCAGAACAATTATCCGTCTACTGGAAGACTTAATTTCACTCAGTCCGTTGGCAAGCCTACTCGACAAACCACGGAATAAATAGGCTCCCTACACTATACTGCAGTGAATTCTTTAGGACCATGGGTAGAGTTTGTGCATGACGAGCATTCCAATCGAAGTACAGGCATATCAGTTTTATGTAAAGCCATAAATGATTTTTCAATAAACTTTAGTGATGCGAAATTGTTGGTGACACCAGTTCGGCAGGTTGGACAGAGCAGCGCGAAGTGCAACCGGATGTGTCAGTTTTTACAAGTTAATACAAGTTGGATTTGCCATTAAAGAACCCAACATGACAAGCTATTTACACATTCCATGTAGGTATAAAACCACGACAGATAGTAGCTAATGCTTCCAGTCCCTAACAGCACACTACCCATACACCGCTCCGTGAGTGACACGAGCTTTCCCTAAAAGAAGATGGACTTCAGTGTGCAAAAAATATCATTTATCATTAGCTTTCACATCTAATGAGCGATGTGAGTTATTCCTATTCAAATGCGAACTAGAAGCACTTGAAAACCACAGTGTTAGAAATTAGAATATTGTTTCCCATTCGCATAGGACCGAATGGAAAGAGAGGTAAAACGGAGTTCCTCATCAATCAGGATGCATCTCCAAACTTTACTGACTTATTACTCTTAGGTGTGAAATTTTTACCCGCTTGAAGTTTTCTGACCACCAGACATTACATTTAATTTGAGTTAATAGTTGGTCCCGAAACGAGTGACTGGCTATCACCACGACAGTTTTAGACGTTTTTCCAAAGGCAGTTGAACATAAATTAGAAAGGCAATTCAGCCGAGTTTCTTTATACTTAACGGAACCCCGTCGGATTTCAATTAACGAAGAATCGGTCAACTCTCCACCTATTTCTTTTGACTAGCCATCAACCAGATTCCAACAATGCTTTTCACTGCACGGATTGTATAGACTCCAGAAAATGTTCATCTGTCACAATCTCGTTTCAGCAATAAGCATTTTGATCATCCGATTGCAAGCATTGAATGTTTGATTATTTTATTAAGTTTAAGCAAGAGGAACTCAAATTCCAATTCACAGTACTGTCTTGTGTACTAACCACGCGTTATCGCTCTGACTCACAATTGAGCTGTACGCGGCTAATAGGTCGAACAGAATAGACAAGCTTCTTTGCGAATTGAACGTACAAATTCACTCAGTGGTCAAACAAAGGGGCTCCTTTCAGCAATCTCGGTGTACAATATGAGTGTTCAAAGCTTTGTCAAAGAAAGTTAAACCGAATTGCCAAGAGACGTGTACGGTGTTCGAACTTAGTTGCTAACACTTTATTCCTTGGTCATGTGTGTACCATACTTTCTTCTTTGGGCCGTGAGAGATCTAAAGCTGTATCACGATTATATCGAATATCTATGGTAGACATTTGAACATTCGATCTGGTTCTCATTGTTCCAACCCACACTGTATTGCTTATTCACCTTAGTTTTCTATTTTACTTTCGAACTTACTATTATCCTGAATTGTCACGTCACATTGAACATTCGAAAAAATAAGCACTTCATAAACTTTGGATTAAAAGTCACCAAACAAATTTGAGATACTGCATTTCAAGGAACATAAAATGAACTTTCAACATCCCATGAAATTGTACAGACGAACGTAGATACGCACTTGAATAAACCAATTTAATGTACTATTGTTCTATTGTTTACTTCATACCCAGCATACTATAAATGTGCCTTACCTAGTTTGAACCAACACTTTTATTGTGTGTGTGTCTGATGTTGGTTGTTCTGATACAATGGCTTGCGTGGCACTTTTGTACACACACAGTCATGGAATCACACGCGTTGTGGACGTATTTTTTCAACTTTCCATCCAACTATACCTTATATACTTATAAATACACTGCACAATCCACCGAAGCATTGAGTCTGATTCCCAAAGAGAAGTGTTCAACAAGTGTGTCCACAAGTCTCAATTGGAGCGTTCTGAGAACACGAGTAAAACTACAGATGCACTTTTAGATCTTCCGAAAAAAGCCTTTTGATTCGATAGTAAATGCGATTCAACTATCAGATTATGATGTCTCAACAAACAGCTCTACTCGACCTTAGTGAAAGAAAATACTTTCTTCAGCAGAGGGAAGTTTATATTAAACTGTATAGATCAAATAAATTTACTCAATCCGATTTCCAAAATATATGACCTAATTTTTGTCCTGGATCTGACGCAACTGGTTTCGTTCAGATTTCCCACCAGCCTATGCACATTCAATTAATTTGGTTACGAGAGGGAATTGGTTCGTTGGATGAAACTCATCATCACATCAGAATTGCTCCCTGGGGGTTTATCACTCTGACCGATAGTCCCATTCAGCTACTGGACCCCTAATATCCAAGACAGACCAAATCCTAAACACACATCTGAAAGTGCAGTGGCAGCACCAGAGACATTCTCTTAGAGAGACACAAAGGTATGTGAAAACTTTTTTCCGAACTACTTACTCCCAGACACTCATCGTTCAATACATACCGAACTTTCAAAATCTGTATCCACATTATCTTCACGCTAAAATTTCAAACTTTGTTCACATTATCTCGCGCAATTGTTTGTTAATAAGGAAAAGGTCTATGCAGGACTGCTTACATCGGTGAAAAGGTTAACATTTGACCGCATTCAGTTGCATTTTACCTGATTTAGTGTAAAATAGGGTAAAAGACCACCAACCCCGGATGGCTGAAGCTACCACTGCTCTGACGTGAATTGACTTGACAAGAAAGCTCCCATTACTGGACCTTTCCATGGGTAAAAGCAGCAACGGTATCACAACGCATCACTTAATTTATCACTGCATTAACCTGAAGCCGGACCTCATGTTAATTTTTCACATCCAGAAATGAATGCATTAATAAGAATAATTGCTACCCGAGGTAAATAGATTCCTGAGACCCATGACGTAAAATACCGCCTTTGTCAGAACGTACCCGTGTAAAAGTTGTGTTTTCCGATTCCAACTCCTTCATTCGTTCCTCGACAACTTCCAGTTCTTGCAACAGACTGCTGAGATCATGTTCTGCCGTGGCTTCTGAAAAACAAGCCAACAAAAGCGCGCACCAATGTGAATGAGACATATGATTTTATATGAGATAGTGAAGATATCGAGTACAAAATAAATGAACAAATAAAGAAGTGAAACAGGGTGAAAGCTTACTGGATTTAGTCGATCTCCATGATTTTACCCAATAAAGAAATGCATCAATTTCTTCTTGTTTGCATGCGTGACGCCAGAAAGATAAAAAGAGTTATATAGTCCATTTGATCAAAGAGGACCACTGATATTCTCATTCCCGGATCCCCGATAAGTGAATTTCACACAAACCAGAAAAAATAGAATGGTGCTAAAAGATAGCGCACAACTGTGATGGAAGTGGGATTTGATTCCCCATGGATTACGACAACAGTGAGTTAAATCACGCGCATGTCGTCAAACAATCCGTTAGGCGATAAGAACGTCGGATTCCCGAAATAAACACTAAGCCAATCATGGCTCCAGCAAGCGCGACAGATAACGTGCAAATAGCGGTTGGAAAATGGCGGTAAAAATATTACTATAATCGTTCCATGACGCTATGTATTCAACACGTGAATTGGTACCAAGTGAGAACAAGAACGTTTACATTTCATTCTGTTTGCTGTTTGATTTGAAGAAACATGGAGTTGTTCCTTTTCGATCAGAAATAATAGTGCAATCCACCACCGATCAATAACATCTGGAATGTAGCACAATGTGCACGAAATGCAAACGTTCTTATAAATGCATGAGCATTGTGACTTAGGCGCAGGACCCCCTATCGGGCGCGTATCTTACATGCTATTTTATTTAGTTATGAAATGGCTACTCAAACATATTTTCTCAAACATTAGATTGATGGTACTTTTATTGAATAAATGCTGTTTAAAAGTATTGATGGTTCACATGTGCTACGGATTGTACATCGAATTCACAGTTTGTCATGAGAGATACATACTTATTTCCGTCGGAAAATCTCACGGGCAATCATTTTTTATTAATGGTACTTCCTACTATGTCTTTAAGGGTCAGTTAGTAGCAAAATGCATCTAATGACTGGAATTCCTAAATGGCTGCCGCTCATAGAAAAAAAGAGCACAGATTGAGGAGTTCGGTACTTATTTTTTTATTAATTTCAACGCAGGAAACATGTTTAAAAAAATTAGATAAATGATGTTCACTTTGACCTATGTATCAGAAAGTGTAAGTTGTTTGCAATCGTTTTATGGCCTACATCACGTGTTCAATAGTGAAGCTCGTACCTCACCAGGTTATGAAACTCTGTCCAGCAAACTGTTCAGGTAGATTAGGGAATAGACAAATGTCAAAATAGATACATCTATATATGATTCAAAAATATGGTGATAGCAAATGATCTCAGATATGTATATTTGCTCTATTCAGTACTGATATCACATAGATCGAAATATAACCCACACGGACTCACATTCCAGCTACAAGAAAACGACTTTCGTTCATCCACACTGCGACATCCGTTTAGTATCATCACTGTTTTTCTTTCCATATTCTCCTCGTGGAAAAGTTAAATACGAACAAAATCTCGAAACTACTATTTTACCGCAGTCAGCACACAGCAGAAACGATTTCAAGTTGATATTTGATCATGAACTCGACAACTGTTCCCGGTCTGTGATACACGTTCTGCTGACTGACCGAACAGAGACTAGAAATAACGAGTGACCCGAATGCAACATATCAATTCATTCATTTCCGGAACTTTCTCCCCTTCACTCCGCGGCATCCAATTCACGATCCTCATCACAGCGAATTGGTTAACATGACCGAGTTGTCATGGAGTTTCCGGAGCACGTTCGCATTGATAAGATTTACAATTGAAACCAATGACGTGTTTGACCTTAGAATTTGATCTATCCTAGAACTACAATCAGTTGCAATCCCCATCCGGTATTAAACACATCATCCAAAGATCAACAGACTCGTCTCTAATTCTAACTGAACACAGTTGTGCACACCAAATAGTAAATGATGAGTAATTCCCATTTTCAGTTAAATCCTCCTAATGAAGGTTACGAAACGAACAAGTACGAAAATCGGAGTGACTTTATTTGTATATGGACAATGGCTTACTTTTAATTCTTTTTCATTCTGTTAGTTAGATTTCGTACTTGATATAATACTTTCAGTCAATTTTCCTCAAGCCAAACTGTGTGACAATAGGAACTGAGATGAAACCCCGTTAGCTCCATATGCAGTGAAACACTTGTGATCTCAACATGATAGATATTCGGATGAGTAGCGCAACAACATGGTTGCCCAAATCCATAAGAAACCACCCGTCCTGATTACGTTTGATGCGGTCAGTATAAGCGTAAAGAAAAACAAAACACTACTAGAGTCAAAGAAACCATAAAAACTTCGGAAACTCAACAGAATAGAGAACACGGGGTAAAAATGGAAAACTATTTGATGTAACAAGTACCAGCGGAGTACATTTGAACGAGACAGCTGCATCAACTAAGAATTAAAAATAATATGAGAACCTGTAGGGGTAAACAGTTAGTCGAATGCTAAATTGCTTGTATAAATCGGATGGTACAGGACTACACACTAAAACTGAGTGTGATTCATACAGTCTGGGGCTAGATTTTGTTATCAGTTACAAACTCACTTTCGGTAAGCCTTCCTCATGGGGGATAGATAATGTAACTGAAACCATCATTGCACGTATGAGCACGGAACTCAAAAACCGTCTCAAGGAGCAACTATTATGGGTTCAACTGCATCAGTAATGAAGTAAATGTATGGAGCTATATGCGCATTGTTGGACTATGACTCCTTTTGTTCTGCGGAATTCGGCTTGTTGATGATACATCCATCCTATTTAAACATAGTTGACAATCCACGTCTCTTAGTGCTTGTATGCTTGCGTGCGTGTGTGCGTGCGTAAACATCTGTTTTGTCGTTTGGAATGTAATCAGGCTGCTTCGAGTGAACATCCGACAATCAGATATCCCTGACGAAATGAGGCGCATATCGGAATCGTTCACTCATCTGTCACATTGTGCTCGCTGTCACATGCCAATCTGTCAGAGGTACGGTGTGATATACCATCTTTAATGTTATATTATCAGCTGATTTGCTCATTGCACACACAATACAAAAACTATGGTGCATATTCGTTTGTAAACCAAGGAAGAAAAATATAACTGCTTTCCACATGCATCTGTTACCCTTAATGACTCATCCAATTGGCAATCGAAAGTGTGGTAATAGTCGTGTACAGTCAATGCGTCAGCATTCAGTGAAAAGTCTCCGAAGCACTGCACAGCTATTTGAACCTTGTTAAGAGTCCACAGTAGTGTCTATCCACCGAGTTCATTAGGATTAGACCTGGAACCCGGACAGGACGGTGATTGGCTCTATATGACCAAAAGACGTCTACGAAAAAAACCTTCTAAAACGTTTGAGGCAAAGCAAATGCTCATTAGGTTCAGATGTTTTGCTCTACCGTGGAACAACCCTGATGAATAGTTAGGAGTCGACTATTGTCGACAAATGCATTGGATTAACAATTTATCATGTCTTAGTTCCACTCCACAGGGATTCAGTGGATATGAATTACTGATGATTCCGGAGACAAATAAAACAGCTGCATGGTGCTTCCAGGGACTTTTCAAGGATGAGTGAAACTTTGACCCGGCTTGATAAATAGGATCAAGCAAACAGTTGAAATTGCTTGAACCGATTCCTATAAACAGTTGACACATACAGTCGCTATCACCGAGTGTTTGCGTATCCGAAAGAGACATGAAATACGGCGGTGATCTACGTTTGGAACAATTAAGGAAAGAATTAGGTAAAATTAAGGCGGGATAATTTAATCTGATGAGAGCCAGTCGGAGCAATGCAGAAGACCAGTGTTCCGGACAACCGAATCCTAGAATCGAATACGATGTGATGCGTCGGGTATGGAATGCTGACGATTCTGCAGAAGGATAAAAATGGGCGAATCGTGAACCTCAAGCTTCAAAGCAGTTCTAGATTGAACCTTCAGCACTGCATTCTTTCTATATATTTGGTTCAAATTGAGATTTCAGTAGCCTCGGTAGGGTGTGAATCCATGCAGGGACGCCTCTGACACTTTTGCACAGCACACGCTCTACCAGCTGAGCCACGAGGCCACACCGATAACACTAATCTTTCCAAATTTGGATCACCCATCCAACTTACACAGGTATATGAAATCCATCAGCTAGAATGTACGCTTATTGCTACAATAGGTTTTCCTTAGAATTCACCGGAATCTACAGAATGAGCTTCTGAGGCGGTTATTTGTGTTTGATCACACGTGTCAGATCAACATCAGAAATAAAACTGAACAGAAATGGCAATCCTTTAAATATTGCAGAGGGAAATACCGCATAGCTCATAAAGATAAGACCTTATGAAAGTACTAAGTGAAACGCGGAATTTCGTCTGCTGTCAGATGTTTAGTTTGTATCCAAGTAGTGCATGTTTCGATGTCAGAAAACGTTTATTATAAAATGTGTGTTCCATCTACTCGCTGCGGTTGTAAACGAAGCGAAATAAATTAGTCTTCCGTGAACATCTTCAAAATCAGTCCAAGTAATGTCAAATATGTGAAATGGACTTCAGTCACTCTTTATCGAATTCGTTTGTGTAAAGCCACAATGATTTTGGCTCTTGTAACGGTCGAGATAATATAACAAGAAAAAATGATTTCCAATTCCCCCGGTAAATCTACTAACAGCAAAATGAACCAGTATTTGTTTAGTATATAATTGTGTGGCTTTCAGTAACCATCTCTTAGTCGTATAGCGTTTAATTCTTTTTCCACAGATCTGGTGTGAGACAGTCTAAAATGGGTAAAATTCTGGTTTGAATGCCTATTTCCATCACTGGAATCACAGAATCGTCAATGAGGGAAATGTGCACTGGTCTTGACCTTGACCAAGATACAAATTCGCCACAGATTCAATCAAGTAGTTGAACCCCATAGAGAGATAACGGTT